CCTGTCCTTCAGGACCAAATTAACTCGATTTGAGCTCGGGATGTTTCAGTCTTCCTGACTCCAGGAGCTCAACCTGAACCGTCCTGATCCCACCGCCTCCACTGCATCTGCACCCACACCTGTCCCACTGCAGCCACACCTGTCCCACTGCAGCCACACCTGTCCCACTGCAGCCACACCTGTCCCACTGCAGCTACACCTGTCCCACTGCAGCTACACCTGTCCCACTGCAGCCACACCTGTCCCACTGCAGCCACACCTGTCCCACTGCAGCCACACCTGTCCCACTGCAGCCACACCTGTCCCACTGCAGCTACACCTGTCCCACTGCAGCCACACCTGTCCCACTGCAGCTACACCTGTCCCACTGCAGCCACACCTGTCCCACTGCAGCTACACCTGTCCCACTGCAGCCACACCTGTCCCACTGCAGCCACTCCTGTCCCACTGCAGCCACACCTGTCCCACTGCAGCCACACCTGTCCCACTGCAGCCACACCTGTCCCACTGCAGCCACTCCTGTCCCACTGCAGCCACACCTGTCCCACTGCAGCCACACCTGTCCCACTGCAGCTACACCTGTCCCACTGCAGCCACTCCTGTCCCACTGCAGCCAGAGTCTGGGTGAACAGGTAAACAGGTGAACAGGTGAGAGTCTTCAGGTGGGCTGAAGGAAAAGCATGCTCCCCCTGCAGCGCTAACAGCAGGTTAGAGGAAACACAAGCAAAGATGTATCTCAGCACAGCTGGATGCTAATGAATGCTCTCATCACCCAGCGCTCCCACAGATCAGCAACTTATGCAGAACATGACTAATTATCATATCAGCAGGCAGAGATCTGTCAGCCATGACAAACTCAAGCCTGGAAAGGAGACCTTTACCGATCGACTCTCAATTACATGTTTGCAATCATCTTCATTTAACATCTCAGTTAAACTTCCTTCTTCTTCCACTTGTTTCTCCTCCTGTGGTTCAAAAAGCCTGCAACACTTACTGTAAACAAAATAATAATGATGATCATTTAGATTTTCTATCACGCTTTATCATTTTTTTCTACTTTGGTCAACTTTTTCTGACACACGAATTCCACAAATGTCAAGAGAAGCTGCAAAGTTTCCATCATAAACTCCAGAGTTTTCTCTGTAAATGTTTAATGTTCAGGCAGAAAGAAGGAAAAGCTTCTCTGCCGCAGTGTTTGCTTTAGTTTGGTTTAGTTTTCAGATGTTCCCACTCAACGCAGACATGCTCAAACTTTTTACATTTTTCTCTCCATTAAGCCGTGATGAAGAGATAATTAGAGGTTTTTACTGCTAAAGGTACATTTCTCCATTAAGGTACTGAAACCTGAGTTCCAGTAGGAGTCAGAGATATGACTGTTTGTTGTGTGAGCAGTGCTGCAGCAGTCTGAGGCTGCAGCAGTCTGAGGCTTCAGCCGCCCTGCTCGTGAAGCTGCAGCGCTGCAGCGCCCCCGGCTGCACTGAGCATGCTCAGTGAGTCTTCCTGTGGGGGCATCGTGAGGAAGCCAGCAGAAATCTGTCAGGTATTCCTGGAGTTCCCCTGATGCCTGTGAGTTGCGTCAACACAAGAGCTGAAAATAAATCCTGGCTGCAAACTGACACGTTTTTTTTTTTTTTTGTACTGGTTCTGCTGCGAATAAAAAGATTACGAATGAATTTATCATTTGACTAAGATAAACACGTCTGACCTGATGTAAAACTTCATATCTATGTTTTATCTTTGTAGTGTAATCTAATACTGGAAGTTTCCGAAAAATCCAACCTGCAGTTTGAGAACAGAGGTGATTAAAATTCCACATTAAGAAGAAACCATTGGCTCTCCTAACACTTTCTCTAAAATAACATAATTAAAGCAATTTAAGGTTCAAAGCTGAAATATGATCGTTACTTTCTGTCAGTAAATCTGCAGCACAGAACTAATAGTGCCGTCACAAAACCTCACAATAGATGTTCACTACTTATTTTGTCTTTTAAAATCGACGGTGATAACTGCCAGTGGTGAGCGCAACAATCCAAAACGTTCACCAATGAACAAGAATCTGCACTAAATTAGCAGAAGCTAACGCCAAACCGCTAAAAACATTACAGAAGTTATAACCACTAAACAGATATAAAAACGAGCACAAGCTAATGCTAACCATTAAGACGACTGTCACTGTCTCACCGGTGTGAAACTGTCAAACAACAAAGTCCTCGGTTTCTGATTTTGCCACATATTGTTACTTTAATGTTTAATAAATATTATGATCAAAGTTTAAAAATTCATCCACGTCATTAAAATGGGAAACATTTTATTGCAATAACTGGTTAAAAGGCTCAAAACTCCTGAAATTCAGTTGGTAAAGGGTGATATGAAAACATGACCTGATGGGTGAGGAAACATATTTTTATGTCTTTAAACACATTTGAAAGGTTTTTACAGTAAAAATTGGGATTTTTGGTCCAAAGAAAACATCCAGGTCTGACCAAAAACTCCTGAACTTTGTGGGATGATGATCTACGATCCAGTGAGTCCAAATGGTACCATCCTTTCTTATTCTTTGTTTTTCTGCTGAATTGCACATTAAATACGTCGCAGCTCATGCAGAAAGTTTGGTCTGTGTTTTATGAAGCAAACAGCTGACCCTCCCACCAGGGCCTCAGAGCCTTTAAGACCCTCTATATGAGTTACTGCAGAATCCCGGCATTGATTTTGGTATTCTCGGCATCGTGGGTCGTGTTTCAAGCTGCTTTTGTCTCTGTTTATACTGATGTCTGATCCATCAGGCCTCCAGATTAAATTTAGACCCATTTTGCGACCGCTCCTGGAGAGAGCGCGGTTAATCTCATAAGAGAGAGAGAACATTTGGGTCCACACAGACTGATTGGTTGCAGATTCTTCTCGACAATAAGAGGAGGAATCAGCCGGTGTTATCAAGCTGCAAAAGGCAAAAACCAATTCCACAGCAGACATAACTCCAGCTGAGATATTAGAGGCAGAATGAATGCTGCTGTTATCAGCGTGTCCTAACGGGGAAGGGAAAGCTGAGACTTGCACTGGACCAGCTAACAGCTTCTCCAAGAACGCTATCCACTAATTGATCTGCAGAAGATGCCAAACTTACTAAAAACTGCAAGCTGAGTTTGTGAGTCCAAGGTGTTAAAAAGAGCAAAGTTTCTAAGATGAACGATCAGTGTGGCTGACTGAATCACAGCCGCGCTGTCAGGCACCTCTAGCAGGTTTTTCTGCTGCGATTTTCACCTGTAAGAGTGAAAATCCAAACCCAGCTGAGAAAAAGCCTCCAGTCCACTGATGCTGCAACAATCATGAAAATCTTTATTCCTTCGCTTCATTTCAGAGCGTCAGGAAGCTCCGAGTTGATGGTTTCTCTGCCGTCAAAACAATCCCACTGCCTGCTTGATGGATGCATAGAAGAGTTCAAACACTAACAGGAGACGCAACATAGCTTTTAGCATTTCATATTTTTAGGAGAATCATTTATAAAACAGTTTTCATTCACCACTGCAATCCAGTCAAAAGTTCAGAGTACTCGCATCTCCTAAACTTTTCCACCTTTTACAACAAACCTCAAAGCGTTTGTGTGGATTTTATGACAGACCAACACAAAGTGGCGCTTCATTTACCGTCAGAGATTTCTGTCTACATTAAACTTTAAATCAAGTCATTAATTAATTGTAATTATTTGCATTTTAACTAAAAACCATTTATAACCAAAATGAGAAACACTTTGCCACTAATTTATTAAATACCTAAACATAAACTCAACAACAAAGTTATTTCAAGTTTTTAATCTTATTTACATTATTAAATCATCAGATTGGAGCAAAATGTTTTTCTATCTAGAGTTTCAGGAAGTTCTGGTCATTCATGGAGCTTCTGTACAAATATGGACGCTGACGTTAGCGTTAGCTGCAACATGTATAGCACTCAGATGCTATTATGGGCTAGCATAGCTTCCCTAAGGCTAACTTCTTCTAGCACAACTTTGTGCCCAACAATACTATTTTCCAGCATCCAATCAGATCATTTTATGTTTTTTAACCGTTAAAATCTGTTTAATTAACGAATCAAAATGTGCAGCAAACGTGCAAAATGAAACCTTTTCACTGCAAAACACTATGAGAAGAAAAACAGGGCGGTGGCAGCATGATGCTGTGGGGAAGTTTAAGGAAACATGAGCAGGTTCAGCAGGACAATGATCCAAAACACAGAACGGTTCAGATCAAGGCTTACTGTGTCAGAACGGCCTAGCCAAAGTTCAGACTTTAGTTGAGTTGAGAATCTGTGGTGAACTGAAAGTTTACAGACATTCTGCGTTCCAGGAAGCCGGAACGCTTCCTACTAATGAAAACATGGGCTCTACAAAGTCTGGGCTGAATTTAAATACTTCAGAGATTTCACTTCATAATGACTCACTCAGCTGGTGATGATCAGTTTAAGGGATGGAAACGCCGTCCTTTAAACTGGCGGTTCTGAGTGAAGACAAACCCACTCAGCTTCCATAAAGCGGCCAATGTTTGTCTGCCTGAGTCAACAGATTTGATCAGAAAACAACAAACTGATGCTCCACCATCAGCCCTTCAGCTGCAGCTTCATGCAAATCAAGATTCATTCATTTGCTAATGTGTGTCTGTCTCTAGTACATTCTGGTCCGATCCAATTTCCACTGAATACAGTTAATAAAAGGTTTTAAATGAGATTTAAGCTAATGTTGCGAATTGAGCAGCTGAGAAGAAACCCAGGTCTGGCCAGCAGGGGGAGCTGCTCCTCTGACAGCGGGGGGGTGAACAGTTCCCGTGCTGAAAGCTCAGCAGCCGGAAAAACTGCAGACAAACAAACTGCCACATGTGATTAGGACAAACAGACAGCAGATTCCCGCTCTGCTGCTCCACGGCCAAATTCAGGAACTGCAAATCAAAGTTTCTGAACCTGAAGCAGCAGCGAATGAAGGGGAGGCGCCAGGTGAGGCGCTGAGGACTCACCTGGTTGGTGAAGAAGCGCGCGCTCTCCGAGATGAGCAGCTGGACCAGGATGTGCAGCCCGGAGGTGAAGAGGCCGGCCAGGATGGCCCAGGTGAGCGGCAGCGGCAGCATGCTGTAGGTGGCGAACAGCGTGAACAGGACGTAGCCCACGCCGTCCCCCAGCAGCCCGTAGCCCAGGCCGGCCGCCAGGATCTGCGTGGCCATGGCCACCCAGGTGACCACGCCGCTGTACTGCAGGTAGCTGTGCGAGGTGGTGTCCTTCCGCACCACCACTAAGGCACAAATGACCACCTCTATGCCGGTGAAGAAGCCCAGCAGCGTGCCCTTGATGGGGTCCATGGGGGTGGAGGCCAGGGTGAGGTGCAGCACCAGCAGGGTGAGCTTGGTCACCACGTCCAGGATGTTCATCACCACCACGGACTTCCGCCGCTGGCCCAGGAAGTAGCGCTGGTAGAGCCGCTCCAGGTCGCGCGACTTGAAGGCGTTCCGCAGCGTGGGGAAAATCACGCCCCGGTACGTGTAGCCCCAGTTCAGGAAGAAGTCCGAGTTGCTGGGCGCGCAGTCGATCTGCAGGAAACCCAGGTCGCTGCTCGCGCGCTCGGGGAACACTTTGGTCCCGCCGTTGTTGTGCCGGTCCCCCACCGACGTCCGGCCCGCGGACTGCTTCCGCGCGCCCTGGATCGGGTCGAAGGGGTCGTCTTTCGTCCCCCCGCCGCCGCCGCCGCCCTGCTCGTGGATGAAGCGCTGCTCGGTGATGTGCCGCACCGCGTTCTGCCACAGCAGCCGCTTGGGCCGCGCGCTGCCGCTGCCGCTGCTGTTGCCGCTGCTGCTCGGCGTCTTGTTGATGTGTACAGCTCCTCGCTCGCGCTGGAGCAGCGCACCTCCGACAGCTCCATCACCGCCTCTCAGCTCCGATCGCCTGTCTCAGTCTCTCCTCTCCTCCTGCTCCTCCGGACTCTCAGTCGGATCAGCGGTTCTGGGGACACGACGTCTTCTCGTGCGCATCGAACCGAGGGCGCGTGCTTTTCTTTCGGGTTGGGGTGGGAACGGCGCGGGGCAAAGCGCGGCTGGAAGTCATTGCGGATCCCTTACAGAACCTTTCGAACCGATCCCGCCTCTGTCGGACCAGCCATCATGATCCCCGCGTGGAAAATCACCGCGTGGCGCGTCCGAGCAGCGAACGCAGCTCGAGCCACTGTGACCGGACCGCGGGCACCATCAGGGGTCGCGGCGCCACGCAGCCACGCAGAGCCGGGACCGTGGATCAGAAAGAGACTCTGTTTGGAAGCGGGTCGGAGGATCCGGGTCCAACCGAACCAGAACCAGAACCAGAGCGGGATTAAGACGCTGCAGGAATTCCCTGTTTTCTTTGAAAGATTCCCAAAGATCACCAGGCGCGGAGGAATAAAGAAAAGCAGAACAAGAACTCCATAAAATCCGTTTATGAATCCAGAGGAAATTCAGAACCTGAAACTTGTTGCTGCGCGCGAGCCTCCACCTTCAGGATCAAAGCTCATCCCGCGCGCTGGGAACACCTGTCTGACAGCGCGAGGCGAGCAGCCGCGCGCCAACCCGGTAAATAAACAACGCGCACGATGCGTCTCCGTGCAGCGCGAGCCCAGGCTGATCTTCCTCCTCCTCCTCTTCCTCCGGTCTCCCCTGTCAGACCTCCGCGGTTCCTCCTCCTCCTCCGCGGTGTTTCAGAGCCGCGCCGGCCGCGTGCAGAGGCGCAGAGAGCGGCGGCTGGTCAGCTCCGCTCCGCTCGGGTTTGACGTCACCCTCCGTGTGTCTGCGCTCTCTCTCCTCCCGCATAACCCACGGTGTCATCCCACGCGCCTCCGCTCATCCTTTTGTCTGCTAACTCTCCTCTCCACCGCTTCGCGCCTCCTTCCGTATCTGGGTCACTTTTGGATCAGGCAGCCAGCCTACATTCTGGATCCGTTCCCACGGATTTCCTTGGGATTTTAGCTGAAATGCTGGAAGCTTGACTCTACTTACGGCAACCTGGCATAACATTATGACCACTAACGGGGATCTTCTGTTTCTCCCAACGCGATGTTACAGTTTGAACATAACAGGCAGATTTAGGGTCTTTGACTAGGCCATTCTGACATTAATACATTTGGAATAAAATGATGTGTCCCCCGACAGATCAATGATGGTACAAATGGAGCTGATGCAGATATAAACTTTTTAAATGTCTTAAATGGAAACTGTCGGTACAACACAAAGCATTTTTATTTAAGCTCCACTTTATTTAAGTCTTTTATTTTTAAAAAGTCGCTCCAGGAACGTGGCGGGTCGGTCATCCCGCCTGTTCCTGGACCCGAACCGGCGGGTTTCTGGACCCGAACCGGGCGGGTTTCCTGGACCCGAACCGGCGGGTTCCTGGACCCGAACCGGGCGGGTTCCTGGACCCGAACCGGGCGGGTTCCTGGCCCGAACCGGGCGGGTTCCTGGCCCGAACCGGGCAGGTCGGCCAGTCCATAGGGAGGTTCGGGAGGTTTCCCAGCGGGTCGGTTTCAATCAGCGATCAGAACCGTTTTGTTTGGTTGTTTTACCCCAGAAAGCTCATCCCAAATGCCCCTCCCCTCTCTCAGGTATTCCAGCTTTTATTCCGCCTTCATGTTTTCCGGGTTTTCATTTGGTTTCCAAACCAAACCAGTTGAGTTTGGTATGAAGATCTAAACCTTTTTCTGGTGTTGCTGTCGCCTCTGAACTCCTAATGGTTTTTCTCAAAACAAAATCTTTCTTCTGCCCATCCCTTCAGATTTCTGCAGTGTGTTAAAATGACTGAGGTTGTCTCTGCTGTGACCTTTGGGCAGCTGGTGGCAGTGGGTTCCTGCAGATTGAAATGTGCTGCACATCATCAAACAAGCAGAACTTCAGAACACAAGTTACATAAACAAAACATTAATATCTGTATAAAGTCAACAGACGGTCAGATTACAGTTCGTACATCAGTTTTAGTGAACATGTTTTCACTCAACCGTCTTTTGATCTTTGCTCTTTTTGATTTGACATGTAATTTTTTTTGCTGCTGGCTGAAATCATCCAAACTGTAAGTAAAGCCCAGAGTGATAAAGAGAGTCTAATCGTGGCGCTTGCATGTTAATCACCAGCGGTAAACTCTGAATCAATCACCCGTAAAAACTCCCCAGAGATGATTTTACAATCATGCCCTGCAGATCTGTTCTCCCAGCTCTGCCGCCGGTTAAAGACCATTCATTCATCAAGACGCCAAAATGGAGGTGAGACGTTCTCCAATGAGGCTCCATCATCCTCCTGCTCCACTTTTCCTCATGCATGAGACTCTGAGCCGAGGCGGTCAGAGCTCGCCGGATTAGACAGGGTGAAACGACTCCCTCCTGAACCTCCAGTTCCTCCCCACGCCTGCACGGCTCCAGGCAGAAGGAAAAGCCGCCTCATTGCTATTCAGTCTATTTTTACCTCCACCCTGTCTCTACTGTAGCTCTTCCTTCTGCTGATTCCAGGGAACATAGTTACAGAAATCCAGAAAGATGCTTTTCAACATTTCCCCTCCGGTGTGACTGATGGGAGGGAAAACCCACGAAAACGCTTTCAGCAGAAAGTTTCAATAAAAACCTGCATTAATGTACGAATAACAGAATGCTGGATAAAGCCATTCGAGGTCTGCAATAAGAGACGTGTTAATTAACATGTAATAAATGAACAAAATCCTGAAATAACAACCTATGCATCAAGGTTACAGGTTTGAGCTGTTTTATATGACAGGATATGTATATTTACACTTGTTTTGACCATAAATGTAAATGTAATTTATTTTGAAAACCAACATCGGCAGCTGCTTCCTGTTTGGCTGTTGCAGGAACTAGAGGCGGTTGGAGGAAACAAAGGCAACAGAACGGCAGCTAATGCTATATTAGCACTAGCATTAGCATTGGTGTGAAAATGACTAATGTTCATGAATATAGCTTTTAAATGACAGTGACGTAGTTAATAAATGTAGTTTGTCCTTCATGTGTGAAATGTTTCGGATATGTTCAGAGCTTAATGTCGGGTCCTTTTTCTGTTGAGACCCATTTCTGGATGCTTTTTCAGATGAGTTTATTAAAATACTTTCAGAGGAAGACGTGAGGAAACGTCTACGATGCCGAATGCTTTTATTGTGTTCCCTCAAGATAAACATAAAGAGGCTGGTTCTGTTCTGGTTCTGCTTCTGTTCTGGTGACGACTGTGGACCCTCTGGAGATGATGACGCGATTCTTCATCTTCATAAAATCAAGAAATGTATGGACAACCCTATCTAGAGAAACAGCAACTTCAGTCAGAGGCTTCTTCAGATTCACTGCAGTACAGACTGCTACAGCAGATCTTTCCTGCCAACAGCCACCAGTTATCTTCAATAACTGTTGGAAGAATCTGCAGTGATGGTTTAGCCTGAATTCCTCTGCTGCTCTAAAGTATCCTCAGCTCCCTCATTCATTTTGCCACAGTCACATTAAAGCAGCATCATTACTGGAAGTAGATCAGTCTGAGCGACTCCTTCTTGAAAATGTCACAGCTCCCTCAGAAATGAAGCCGTTTGCCTTTCGGTGCGGACGGACCCGCTAATTTCAGCATGCAAACCTGCTAAAAGCCCGGCGGGGTCACAGGTGACAGCTCATCAATTCCAGCCCCTCGTAATTCAGGGTTCAGTGACGACATGACAGACGAGCAAATAGGTGACGCAGCAGGAGACGCAGCAGGAGACGCAGCAGGAGACGCAGCAGGAGACACTGCTTTAACCAGGAGGGAAAGCAGAGGGACCAACAACAAACCGGGTCCCTGAACCACTGAGGCCTGAACTGCTGGGGCCCTGAACCGCTGGGGCCCGAACCTGAACCGCCGGGCCCTGAAACGCTGGGATTTGTCCTTCTTGCTTTTAAGTCATTTCCATTTTTCAATGTAATTATGACTCATAGGTCCGTTGTGACTCCAAGCTGCTAATCATTATTTCATCAGTCATCCAGATCAACGGTTTTCAGTTTTTTCTTTGTAATTTGGAGGCTTTTTCACTCATTTCCATCATCTGACCGTTTCCTCTTCCATCTGATTTGATATCTCAATTTCCTCTCATCCATCAGTCATCCAATCAGAAACAGGAAGCTAAAGCCAATTAAGTTAGTTATTTTCAAAGTAAGGGCCTCAAAAAATTGGATGGAAGATGACAAAAAAAAAACAAATATATATATATATAAAGATAAAAAATGTAATCTAATACATTTTTGAATATATTTTTAACTATATTCTTTAATCTAATCTGTTTTTAATTCATAATAATGAAATAAGTTTCTAACAAAATCTTTCTACTCTCTTGCACATCTTTTAAAATCGAATACTATTAATGACAACTTCACAAAATTTTCTTATACAGAAAATTAACACTTTCAGGTTCATGCTTTTGAATTTTTCCACATTGTGACAATTAAAGAGACTCTATTCGAGAATAACTTATTGAATTATAATTTTCCATGTTCATGTTTCTGACTGGATTATCAAAGCAGAAAATGGAAAAGTTTCTGAGAATAAAAAGACCAAAGAAGCCGCAGCAGCCAGCTGTGGAGGAACCTGCTGCTAAAATCACAGAGATAAAAACTCCTGGCCAACTAAAATCAGAGCAAATTATTGAAAAGTTGGTCTCCAGTCTGTTCTGCATCCAGAACCAGAACCAGAACCAAACGCGTCATCCAAGAAGCAGCATTCAGCTTCTATGCACCACAAATCTGGAACTAACTCCTAGAAAACTGAAAACCAGCTGAAACACTGAGTCAGTCAGAGCTGCGTTTGAACCATAATAAATGAAACACTTTGATGTGGAATGATTTCATAAATGTTTGGTGTTTTTTTAAAATAATTTTGTCTTTTTGTGTCTTTATAATGTGAAGCACTTTGACCTGCCCTGCTGCTGAAATGTGCTACATAAATAAATCTGATCGACTGATTGAAGTTGATTTCTTTATATTTTAGTGATCATGCTACTATGATATCTAGTGTATTCATATTTCTTAAATCATAAAGCTCAGCGATCAGCAGGTCTGATGTCGGCTCCAGTGAATGAAACTCCTGCTGGTGAAGCAGAGCGGTTCTGTGGGTCATTCAGAACCGGATCCCTGCAGACCGTTCAGCCCAGTCCGAGGCCGTGAGTGAAGCCGAGCCTGGTTGGGCCAATCAGCAGAGGAACAGACTGTACCGATGAAGTCATCTGGAGCAGCGCCGCCGAGCGTGAGTAACAACACAAAGAACTGCTCTGCGATCGGCCGTGATTCATCCGGAGGTCTTCAAGTGAAACGCAGCACGCTCGTTATGAGGCAGAAATGACTCAGACACTAATTAACTCATTACTTGACTGATGAAACACCTGCAGGTGAGAGAGACCAATTAGAGACGTTCAGGTCTGGGACTGATATTTCTTGGACAGGTTTTAATGTCACGACTCAGAGAAAACCGACCGAACCAAACTTTTATTTCCTTGGAGGTTCTTTGAATCTGAAATGGCAAAAAACTCCTGTTTATTAATATGACATCAAATTGAAACATCAATTGTTTTAAGGTTTGTTAAAATGTTTTAATCTCCTCTGACCACAGCAGATTTTGTGAGTAAATGTCCACTTACAGCTGCTAATTTTAATACATCAAATATGTCTTACTTATGAATACGGTCTGTGGAAGCCGTCTTAGCATTAGCACAGAAGCTAACAGTCTTCCTTATTGCCACTCTTGAGGTTCAGCCAATCAGCAAAAAGGGAAATGAATGGTGCTCCTGGATTGGCTCATTTGCACACCAGTCGGTATTTCAGCTTCCCAAACGGCTTTCTGTTTCCAATATCATATGATGTATGAAATAATCAATTATCAAACAGACAGGTGATTCGGAAACAATTCGGAGTAAGATTCCGGAAATATCTGTGAAACTGAACCGAATGGATTGATCTGCTGTATTTATGGGCTTTTATAGACATCATTCCTTCAACATGCTTCACAAATATTCATCAATTTTCTGAGTTTTCATAGCTGTAAATGTCGACGTCTTTATTTTCCATCTGTCCAAGAATAATCTTTTACTACTTTTATTTCATTTGTTTGTGGCGTTTGTTTCGTTTTCTCTGTCTCTTAAAAATGAAACTGCCATCATAAGTGATGTTCAAAGGTATTCAATTGTTATGCTGCCTAGTGATTCTGTGGAAAGAAAAGTTTTTACACCAAATGGGAAGAAAATTCCCACTTGGTTCATCTTTCTCAAGACAACCTGTGCAAAAGTGTTTCTTTCTAATGTTTTTCATATATTATTTATGTAATTTATTCCTCTAGCATTTTGCCAAATGATTCTTAGGCTAGAAGATGTGTCCTGAAAAGCAGTGGTGAGTCAGGCGATATGAATAAGTTATAAACATTAAAAGACAAACGGTTGCAGCTCAGACGTGAGCCGACCAGCCGCCGTAACGTCAACGAGGACGCTCAGGTCGGCTCTGAATCTGCAGGGAATGAAGAGCCTTTCCTCACCATTCACTGTGATTCATCTCCACCTGAAGGCCTGGTGAGGCGGTGTTCAGCTCGCCGCTTCCTGAGGAGCGTTTCTGTGTGATTATTAACCTTTATTTGCCTGCAGAGTGGTGGCTGAGCATTAAGTGAGCATTAAGTTCTGGCAGATGGCCAGCAGGTCAACACTTTGTTTAAATTGCAGGAGGATCAGCGCAGCTAAGGTGGAAACATTTGGTACACACACACACACACACACACACACACACACACACACACACACACACACACACACACACACACACACACACACACACGCACACACACACACACACGCACACACACACACACACACACACACTTACAAGCTTGTTCAGATCTAAAAACTGAAACATTAAAGCAAGTGGAGATCAGGTGAATCATGCAGCTTCAGGCAGTCGTGACTTCAAATGTTTTCAACATTCATTTCTTTAACTTTAGTGTTAAAAACGTAACACGTCAAAAAATCTGTTTACTCCTGATATTAGAGCCACAGAGATGAGAAGAAGAAACTAAGTTACACTGAAAATCATTAACAGCAACGTTTTACATTTTTTAGTCTGACAAGAAAAAAAATACTGGGATCCATTTTTCTGTTATTTTGACATGGTGTTATTCTGACATTTATTAATGTCATAATTTTAAACTAAACATTTAAGTAGGAAGCAAAATATTAAGCTTGAATATTATATATTTAGTTAGGCAGATAAATATTTAGTTCCAAACTAAACATTAAGTTTGGAAAATGAATCCTTAATTTGGATTTTCCTAATTAAATATATAATTTACCAAGTAAATGTTCAGTTTATGAATTAAATATTCAGTCTGTGACTGTGCCACTTATAAATATGTGAATACCTTTTTGAAATTTTGACTTTAGAGTCCTGCAGATTGGGTTCAGCATGAATGACACCATTTTTCATTCCCAACAGAAAGTCTCTTTGCTGCAGTTAAAACTTTTCCTTCAGCAGAAATGTTCTGACTGTTTTTAAGCAAAGTGATTCTTTTCTTTAGAGTTAATATTCTGTGACCGTTTCATGTTGCCTCCAGTGCAAAGCTTACTCAGCCTTGGCAGCAGGTTGGATATAATGCGATGAATTATTCTGCCCAAGTAGAACATATAAGGATCTGATCACCATTTAATTAAGTTTCTGGTTCTCTAACGTAACTGTTCTGTTTTACATTCAGGACTTTATCTTCAGATGGAGAAATGGTCCAGAAACATTCGCCGGAGGAGAAGATAAAGTTATTACTCGCACAAGTCGGACGCAGTTTGAACAAACAAACATAAATAACAGAACAAATCATTATGCAGGAGGAAAATTGTAAGTAGTGAGGTGTGAAACGTAGGCAGACTCCTGACAAATGAGGTGGCAAATGACCTTCGCGGCGGGCGGCCGCAGATAAAGAGAAAATGTTGCTTCAGACGACAGAAAAGGAAATATGGCAGCAGAGGGAGGAAAATGGAAAGTTTTACTGCAGCAGGGATCACATGAGGACACTCGTAGAGAAGGCAGATGGGTTCTGATGCTTGATGTGAACATCGACCCAAAAGTTACGAGCTTCAATTTAAAACTTTCCAAAGTTTTCAGGAAGACCAGAAAAACTAGAAATATGCAGGAACTCATCCTCTGATCTGCTGGTCAGAAACTGATGGACGTTTCCTGCATGTTTTGATTAAAACAAAAAATAAATCTGTGCTGATTGGCTTTTGACAAATTAATTTGTTTAAGAGGAGAGAAATCTGAATTAGTCTGATCATTTCTGACAGACTGAGGAATGCGGGTCACGTTTGTAAAGGTGCTCAGTGATAAATTAAATGTTTGAGGTTATTCATTGAAAAGTCACATTTTCTTGGTGTTATTCTCTGTTTGGTAACTTTACTGTTTGAGTATTTCTGCATAAACAGGCCACAAACGTCTGACCAATCACAACACGCCTCTCAGAGCTCCGGACCGGAAGTGATGGCCTACCGTGGCTCGGCGGTAGCTAGCTCGGCGGTAGCTAGCTCGGCAGTAGCTAGCTCGGCAGTAGCTAGCTGCAGTAGCTAGCTCGGCCCCACGCATCTCCGGTGTTCCCGAAGTTCTGCCTTCATTTCGCGGACCTTATACTCGGTGAAGCTCATGTCCAGCTCGGTCTTCCCGGGAATTCGGTGAGAAAAACCAAATGAGTCCAAATGTTTCTTGGACGAAGAAGGGCGGTTGAATCTGTCTTTCGTTTGTGCGGCTAGCTTGCTGTTAGTGCTGGTGCTTCCCGCGCATGCGTAAATTCCCACTACCGTCTCCATGGCGACAACCAGCGGATTTATTTTATTGTTTGTTTGTTTTTAAAATCGATTCTGAATCAAAGCAGCAAATGTAATACAGCGCATTAAGGCCATTGTAGGCAGAGGAGTAAATTTCCACCAAAAAACTCAGAAATCGGTTCATAGTTTCTAGAAAGTAAGAACATTCATCAGTTGAAAGGTTACTAGAAAAAACTCAGAAATTTGAGATTAAGCTCAGATATTTAAAAACAAAAATCTGAATTTGAAAAGTAGAAAATTTGAACTTTTGGACATTTCTGACTTTTTCTTGAACATTTCTGATATTTTTAAGCAAATTTGTGATTATTCAAATAATTTCCACTGTTTTTCCAAAGGGAAATTAAATGACTCATGCACTGTTGTATAAATGAGAATATGATTCTTATATGATCATTTGTTGAGATAGAGAATTTATTGTCTTTTCCCCGATAAGTTACAGAAATATGAAGCAAACCCAAAACGTGTAGTTAAGCCGCTCGGCTCACATCACTGCAGACTCGTCTGTCTCTATCTCAGCTCTACTTCCAGTCATGAATTCATTCGACGCCCTGAGGTTCTTAAACTTCAGGTCACTTCCATTCGGGAATGGGAATATAATCCCTTTTCCAATTTAGAGACATGATCTCAGAGTTGAAGCTACATGCTGAGTTCAGGGAGAAGAAAAAAATCTATTTCCATGAGAACATGCCCCAAATTTCCATCATTATGACACGCTGCTGTGACTCAGCTGAGCAGGATGCTTGTTTGGGCAGCTGAAATATGTCCCCAGTTAATCCCTGTCTTGTATGTTGCATCACCAGATGAGAGCTGAAGTCTTGAGAAGAAGCAGAAAGTGGGTTTCTGCTGCAGCTTTGTGAGTTTCTCTGCAGACGATTAAAGATGTTGGAGCGTTCTCTGCAGACGGATGCATGTCAGAGAGATCACGCTCCACAGCAACGCAGCGATCTGAGTCTGCAGCAAACAGCCGAGGGTGCTGGCATGGTATCTGAGAGGCTGCTGCCTGCCTGCCTGCCTGCCTGGCTGGCTGGCTGGGGAGATGACTCATCCATACGTTCTGTTTTTTATCCGTGCCTCTCGTCCTGCCTCCTCGCTCCTCCAGCGCTCCCTGGTAATCTGCTGCTCTCCGCTCCCCGGCCCTCTGGCTGCTGATACTTCATGTTTGGCTCTGAGCTGTCGTGTTAATCGTCTGTAACATCGCCGGGAATCACAGAAAACTGAATTAAACCCACTGGTTCCCCACTTTGGAGTTAAGGACACTTCACACCAGTCACGTTTAATCCGCTTTAATCCGGCTCCAGTCCGTTTGTTTAGAAAGTCCGGTTCGTTTGGTGAGGTGTGAAAGCCAGCCTAACTCTGGACCTCTGAACCTGGCTCTGGGTTCTGTTGAAGTGAACTCTGGTTCGGGTTGAATGCACATGTGAATACCAAGTGGACCGGAGACCGCTCGTTCTCTCACCTTTTGCTTTTTGGCTTCTCTGTCTGATAAATAAAGACAATGTGGAAACATTTATAGTTAGCAAATCTAGAATCTGGACCTGACATGTAAAACTGCAAGAGGGAGTGTTTTCTTTTAACCAAGCGTTTTCTTCCTTTTCATCCTCAAATGTTCAGTGTGCCAACATTTGTTCTAATCTCTTGTCTCATTTGGATTTTTTATGTTATTTTCATTACTGCTTGATTTAACAAACCCTTTAAACATCCAGTATATTTATCCAACAATGGCTAAGTGGGAAAAACCAGCAGCTCCTTAGAAGGAGGTGTGCTGAATCAGTTTCTGGTAAAAAGACTTGAAGGGCTGGACGCACCAGGAGACGTCCTCTTCCTTGTGAATCTGTCCCTGTGAGAAAAAGTTTTGCTTCAAGAGAGCAGAACCGTCTCAGCAGAGTTTAATTTTGGAGGCCAAGATACTGAAAGTCCTCAGCTGTGTTTGCTGCAAAGCTGAAATATTTATTTCCTGTTTCTCTCACTGGTGTGAAAAGCAAAAGGCTGCAAACAGTCGACACTCTTGATCAAGTCAGAGTGAGGTTGTAAGACGCAGGGATGAAAAGATGAGGAGAGCATGCTGAGGGAGGATGGATGACATTAGTAACAGTAGCTAACATCAGTAGCAGGAAGTAATGCCGTTAGCAGGAGCTAACATTAGTAGTAGGAGCTGCTAACATTAGCAGTAGCTAACGAAATCAAAACAAATTGTAAGTTAAGTCTGATGTTCTGTAAGTTCATAACTAAATTTTTAATCGACATCAATCTATCTGCTTTATTCTGAGAGAAATGCATTTTTCCTTCACATGATGAGAAATTGATAACAGTTTCTCTGATATTCTGCTAATTTTGGGAAACTGTAACAAAACATTTTGTCATATCTTTTTGCCTCTGGTGTTTTTGTCTTTTGCTCTTTTCAGTGTGAGGAACGGCTGAAATAAAGCAGCCGGTGGAGGTATTGACCTGAGGAGCCTCTCTACTGCCGACAGTTACAAAGCTGAGCCTGAATGAATAACGACATATTGATCAGAACTGAAGGTAAAGACAAAGTGAGCTAAGTGTAGATTTATGTGTTTCTTGTCAGTTGTGTTAAACTGGGATCTCCTTGCTCTGCAGCATAAATTCGTTGGCTTTCTCTGTTTCTTCTTTTGGTTTTCTTCTCTGGCTTCATGAAAAGGCAGAAGCTTTTTCCATTCTGAGAAAATAATGTTGGTAATAATTTTGCGTTGGTTAAAAATAAAATCTTCATAAACAACCTTTGAGCTGGATGAGCCACAAATGGCCCCAGAACCATACTTTGAACTCCCCTGATTTACCAGGACCTTAGTCTGAAAGGATTCTTCTCAGTCTTTTGGAGATATTTTATGTTCAGACAAGACAACAATTAAACCATTTGGTCACAAATTACTAATAGTATGTTTTGGGTCTCCTGTAGCAGTCTGTATTCCAGCCAGTCTGAAGAAACCTCTGACTGAAGACACTCAATGCCACATGGAAATATTTTTCAGCATAATTCATCAATAACGATGGACTGTAATTGTATTGTGTACTAACTTACACAGGAATGAACTGTATGTAATTGAATGTCAATGATAGTGAAGTGGTTTTGTTAGGATTTGGGTCAATATAAATGAACTGAAACTGAATAATGCAACAGTTCTTCAGGTTAGATTGAGGGACGGAGCGATGAATGGCTTCATTTAGTGAGAAAATATCATTTCCACTCAGCTGAATAAATTTCCACTCACTGTATTTATGCAGGGAAAGAAACAACAAAGTCTCACAACAAATTTCTAAAATATTGAGTTCCCCATCTGTGTGCAGCGTAAATCCACCAGCGTGTGTTTACAGCGACTGAACAATCAACACAGATCAGTCAGAGTGAGACTGACTCCATCTGTGTGTGTTTTTGAGGAGGGTTGGGTGGGGAGTGTTTGGAGGAGAACTCGGTTAATGAGCGGCGTTTTTTCCAGCCTCTGCAGGACAGGAAGTCATCACGTCTCACATGAACGCGGACAGAAACGGGCCGTTAATGAGGCTCAGAGCCGACCGCTGCAGAGCCAGGTCTGACGGCGCTCGGCTCATTTCTGCAGCATCTCAGGCTCAAGTGGCAGCTGCGGCTTTAGAGAAGCACTTGATGCTGCAGCTGCTGCTGCTGCTGCCGGGAGAACCACTCCAACACCTGCAGCGGTTAGCAGGTGGAGGGTCGGAGTCACTTCCACCGGTTTGATCCGTAAAATCAGCAGCAGAAATTCCTGCTTCCCGATCTGTCCTTCAGATTGATCCATTTCTTCTTTCTACAAACAGTTTGGCCTGAAAATCATCTCCAACGACAATCACTGACATACGACTGCATGTTGGTGCCATTGGTATAAATACATGTATAAAAAATCAGTACATTTCTGCAGCGACAGACTTAAACTCTCCAAATTTTTATAGAAAAAAAGGTTAGAATTTTCTGAATTTCAAATGTTAACAAAGTTAGATTTTTTTAAACAAAAAAGTTGAAAATGTTCTACGTTTCCAAAGAGAATCCTTCAGTGTTGCTCCATCTGTAAACATGTTTAAAACGCTTTAAGCTGAATTGTTGCACAAGAAGAAAAGAAACGATGATAATGATTCGAAAGCAGAAGTTATGTTTCAGACGACGTCGCTTTTATTTTGGTAGTCCACCTCCAGTTATCGGCCAGTAAATTTGCGTTTGGCACGAACAAGAACATTCGCCTGCGAACTAAATATTTAACTTGTCAGCTAAATATTTAAAATATAGCCAGTTAAATCATAATTAGTGTAAAACTAAATATCGGTGCTAACTAAATATTTAATTTAGAGATTTATCAATTAAATATTTTGCTTGAAACTAACATTTATATATAAATCAATAACATGATGAAAGTGCCTCCGGACAATGAATCCCCATTTCTGCTGCTGGTTGTTGGCTGTAGTTTCAAACGCCTCCCCTTTGTCACCAAGTTTGTGTTTGTTGAGGAATAAAACCTGGTTAAAAACAGATGGACTCTTCATAGACGTGTTTTTTAACTTTGGTAGGTTCAAAAACAAACTGAAGATCAAATTGAAGCAAACACTCAGCAATAGTAGTGAAATGTTTAGGGTTAGGAGCGTGACTGTGGGTGAACCATCTGCAGAGGTTTGCCTGTTTCTCCCCTCTGAGCTGCTGCAGCAGGTTGGGCCACGTGGCTGCAGAGTCCTGTCATGTTCAGCAGAGTGGGACGAGGCGATGGCGGCGCGGTGGCGCGGCGCAGCCACTGTCGTGGCCCTGCTCTGTGATTAAGCTGACAGTTGGGATGTCGTGGAGCGCCGCGGCACTGCTATCGAAGCTGTGAACTGCCTGCTATAATTAACGGCTTCTGCTGCACCAGGAGCAACGTGCCAGAGCAGCTGAGAGGGAATCACACTCACAGCCAGGGGCCGGATGTCCCCGGCACGCTCACCGGGAGAGGCTTTAGATTCAATTTGCAACCAGAAACTTGGATTTTAGCAAGAACATATTGTAAAAAAAATATATATATCTCACCTGGAAAGACTCACGCATAGTGTATCAGCACAAACACCTTGTGATGCATGGCGGTGGAGGAATGGTGATGTGGGATTGTTCTGTAGCTGCTGGACCTGAAGCAGGTTCTGAGGTTTCCTCCTGCTAAAGGGAAGTTTTTCCTCTCTTCTGTCGCCACATGCATGTTTGGGATGCAGGATTGTTAAACAGTCGACTCAGAGCAAGTGATTTGCTGCTGTCGCCCCCTGCTGGTCCAGCAGGAGTGGTGCATGACTTTCAGCAATCTGTTGGGATTCTTTAGACAGAAACTTTTTCACCAGTTTGAACAATAAGCTGCAACAGAACTGGGAGGCAACCAGAGCAGATCCTGGCGACGCTGGCAGCATGAAGAGCAGGAGAAAAAACATCGTTTTGTTTCAGGAAATTCAAACATGAATCTTTGCTCATTTGAAGATGTTTTGTGAAGAACATAAAACGCTAGAAACTGAAATATGCAGTAGAGGCTCTCTGAACACTTTGGACTGAAATAGTTTTATTCATGTCACACAATGAAAGTGATTCATTCAGAATAAATGAAGTTTTGCTGAAACTTTCAATCCTAAATTCATAACTCTGCATGTTTTCTGTTTTACTTCCGCTTTGGCATCGGATCATGTTGAGCTCATTCTGCAGAACCAACCCAATGTTTCATCCGTGTTCATCCACAGTTTGTTCATCAGCCTGACGGACCTGAAGTCACGCAGCGTTTTCTGGCTTCGGACCGCAGGACGTTTTCCTGGAGTGATGAACAGTGATGCAGCCAACCAGGCGCTAATGCAGCTTTTCCCATCAGTTAATGACTTCAGGTCTGATGTCTGCATCACTGCTTCACTTCCTGTTTCACCAAAACCTGAGAAACTCTCCTCTGGAGTTTTTTAAACTGTAATTCTATCCAAGTTCTCCTTAAAAGATGTGTTATTCTCCAGGACCGGATCAGAACCTGGCTGCTTGGTGAATCGGCTGCTGGCGCTTCGTTGTTTGAACAAATTATGAAATGAATCAAAAACGGCAACTCTGTGTGATCCTTTCCATCATTTTAGCTGAGACTGACTTCTGCGTTGTGAATCTTTGTGTTTTTGGTAAAAAAAAAAAAAAAAAGTTTCCATTTTGAGTGGATTTGCTTTCATCATGTTTCTGGTAAAACAGGCGACTTTCTGCCGGGGGGCCAAAAACCTGAGTTTCCACCAGGAGCAACGAGAAGGCAGCGGGTCGGCCGACTGTCTAGACAGACTGCGCTGGTTCTACTTCCACAAATAGAAAATGACCTGGAATATCTGCCCAGATCTCACACACACACACACACACACACACACACACACACACACACACACCCACACACACACACACCACACACACACACACACATCCAGGATTCACGCTGCTTCACCAAACTGCAGCAACACTCAGGTTTCAGCCTCAATGCAGACATTATTCTGACATGACGGCTTTATACATGGATGAGTTCTTTAAATCGCAACGCTAAAGTTATTAATTAAATCGAGGAGATCCAGGCAGACTCTCACATTACTGCTTCGCTTGAGAAATTCAAGAAACCCGAGAAAAATCAGGTGGTGATGAAATATTTAAGCCAGAAGTGAGTTTCTCAAAGGATTCCTGCTGCTGCAAGATTTATTCCTCCCATAAATAAAAGAAATTCACAAGCAAAAGGTCTCACTTCTTCAGAAAGAGGCGAGTTATGAAAAAAACTGTCTGGTAAGCATTCAAACCTGATTCAAGCAGTTTTAGGAAATCCTACTAATACTTTATAACCAGGAAAAATAAACGAAGTCAAAAAACAGCAGCAGCAAAGAGACGACGGCCATGATGGTTCTGATGGGGAAGCGTTCTTCTTCATGGGTTTTTCTCAGTCATCCCTCACCTGTTTGTTGCTTTGGTTGTGTTTGTGTTAAAGTTTTATTGTTTTAATTTTCGCAGAATGGAATAAAAATTCAGTCAGAAGAAAGGAAACGTTCCGCCTGCCGAAGCCATTAACTCTGATTGATGCATTAGCAGAACCGATCCTTTAACTCTGTTTCACACCCCAGTTACTTCAGAGGACCTAATGGGAGAGCACACACACACACACACACACACACACACCACACACACACTGACCACCTGAAATAGATTTAAACTCCCATCTTCATCAGCAGATTGAGTATTTAATGTGATAATGTGTTAAACCTGCTGCAGAAGCCGACGTGTTCCTGAGCCTCATCGCTCTTCAAACTGGGAAACATAAGAGAACATACCATTTGTTTATTTTATACACACAGGTGTTTAGATTCCGATATTATGATGTTACCACTAAACATATCTTGTGTATTTCCAGTGATTTTGTTGCGTATGAAGGCGTTTCTTTCTGCGGGTTTAAAGGCAGACTTCCTGCTGTCCTTCTCTCTCCTCCACTCTTTCTTTTCTGTTTTTTTTTGTCTCCAAGTCCATTACATTTTAATTCAACCAAAGCATTTTCTGATAAAGTTTTCTATATTGGTATAAGGTAAAGCATCATGGTGAAAGCTGGAATGCTTCACTTTTGAAAGAAAATCTCTTGGGGATGAAGGATTCTTCTTTTTCTTTATTTCTGGAGAAATTGTTCCCAACAAACTCAGATCTTCACACAACTTAAATGTAGGGTAGAAAATGAATCATATTAATAACTCTTTTTACATGCTCCACATCTGCCCAGCTGGACCCTCTAACAGTTTTTCTCTGCTCCACCTTTTGGGTGGAAGTTGCTTCTTTTTGCCTCCTGCTGCCTCCCAGCAGATCGTTAAACTTTACGGTTTAATGCTGTCATTCTCTGTCCAGCTGCAGAAATAAAGTCTCAAAGGCCAGACTGTGGCTGGAGTTTTGTGTTAATGTTTCTGGTATTATATATTTTATGTATTTTCATTGCTCATCTATCTTGTAAATCTCACTGACTGATGGTTTCTTCAGGAATGTGTTGTTTAAGAGCCTGAGCTGCTGCTGGGATCTGGGATTGAGGCTCAAAGTGTTTTTTTATAGAAGCCTCTAATCACTGCTACAGTTACAGTTAGCTGACCCGGCCTGGACATTAGCCCACAGTTAGCTGACCCGGCCTGGACATTAGCCCACAGTTAGCTGACCCAGCCTGGACGTTAGCCCACAGTTAGCTGACCCAGCCTGGACGTTAGCCCACAGTTAGCTGACCCAGCCTGGACGTTAGCCCACAGTTAGCTGACCCAGCCTGGACGTTAGCCCACAGTTAGCTGACCCAGCCTGGACGTTAGCCCACAGTTAGCTAACCCTGACTTGACATTAGCCCACAGTTAGCTAACCCTGCCTGGTCGTTTCCACAATGGACAGATTCCCAGTCCAGTCCTGGATGAGAAACGACTTGAGTTGATATAATTTCCTCCACTTTCCCCTGATTGTGCTGTAAAGTTAAGTTCATCTCCGCCTGAATCACAGGTAAAACTAAAGTTACATTCAGGTTTGAGGTTGGTTTCCTGGCAGAGCTTTGAGTTTCTCTGGTCTGTTTCCGCTGGAGGATCCACCGACCGGAGCGAGGAGACAGCGCGGCTGATTGAAGATGATGTGTTTACTGACACGGGCCATGGGTCAGCAGCCGCCACCGAGGACACCAGAACATGGCCGGCCGGTCCTGCCTCTGAGTCCATTAAATGTGCTCAGGGAGGCTCAGGACTGCAGAACAAGGCCCTTCACTGGCTGGAACCTGGTAAATATTTGACCTCTAGCAGGATGAATGTGACTCAAAGCTTTGACATTGTTAAAGATCCGATGAAGGCTGTGGAGATTTCTCTTGATAACTTCTGCAGTTTATGATCACAGTTAGACTGAGTTTCCAGGAAACCGTCCTCTCATCAGGAACTGGAACGGATTGATGCAGCTGATCTTAAACAAATGTAGGTTCTCTCAGACCGCTTCAATCCAGCTCCGGTCCGTTTGCCTGGAGAGTCCGGTTCAGTGGTCTGCCTACAAACCTTGGTCTGGATTTGGTCAAAGTGAATTCTGGTTCACTTTGAATGCAGACGTGAACTCCAAGCAGACTGGAGATGCCCCAAAAGCAGGAAGTGGACTTCAATGCAGTGCATTCTGGGTAAAACAGAACCAGAACAAACGAGCTAGTCTAATGTTAGTGGAAGAAACGGCTCCTGGTCTTCAGCCAAAGACTAAAGAGAAACACTAAACTCTGACGCCTCCATCTTGTTTCCATCTGGTGAAACAGGAAGTTGCTCTCAGTGTCTTCAGAGGTTTTTGTGTCGTTTCCTTCGGTGGTTGTTGGTGCAGCGCCCCCACAGGTCAGGAGGGGAACAGGCTAGTTTGACTCAGAACCACAGCAGCTGGAGGAGGAGCAGATGATGAAGTTCTGGTTCCAGTAGAACCGGGTCGACCGGACCAACAGGAGCGAAAACAGAACTGATTAATTTACTCACAGCTCATCATTTATTAACATGTCTGTGTTTGAGTCATGTGACTTAGAATCAAGTCAGACTTGAATCACAAACTGAATCAATTTGCATTCGACGTGATAAAATCAAAAGACTTTGGACTGAACTTTGACCTTTACACATAAACTGGTGACATCATCTGGACTTGGTATTTCTCACCTGGTTTCTCCGTCTCTGCTGTCGTGAAGGTTTCAGATCAGCCAGCACACCTGAACGCAGCGAATGGCTCCTCAGCTTCACCTGGGGGGACGTGACTCCGCCCTCTTTTTCAGGTGCCTAGAAGCGTTTAAATGAATTGAGTTCAAACTTGAATTACAGATCATCCAGCAAGCAGTCCCTTCATCAGATCTAGAGGCATGTGAAAACCTGATGATGCTCACCAGCTCATATTCTCTGCTTTTTGTGCGCAACCATCTACAGTGGAGATGAAATTAACTTTGCAGGGTTTTTTCCTCTTACACATTTTTTATTTGACTGCATTTTCTCTGCGTTTGTTTGAGTTCGGCTGTAATTCTGTTGAACATTTGGGTTGTGGTTTGTGTTGCCAAGCGATGATGTCACCAGGTGACTCTGAGCCACCCAATCACAGAACAGATGCTTGTGGAGGTACCAGATCTAGAGTTACAGATCTAGAGTTACAGATCCAGAGTTACAGATCTAGAGTTACAGATCCAGAGTTACAGATCTAGAGTTACAGATCTAGAGTTACAGATCCAGAGTTACAGATCTAGAGTTACAGATCTAGAGTTACTGATCTAGAGTTACAGATCTAGAGTTACAGATCTAGAGTTACAGATCCAGAGTTACAGATCCAGAGTTACAGATCCAGAGTTACAGATCTAGAGTTACAGATCTAGAGTTACAGATCTAGAGTTACAGATCCAGAGTTACAGATCTAGAGTTACTGATCTAGAGTTACAGATCCAGAGTTACAGATCTAGAGTTACTGATCTAGAGCTACTGATCTAGAGTTACAGATCTAGAGTTACAGATCCAGAGTTACAGATCTACAGTTACAGATCTAGAGTTACAGATCTAGAGTTACAGATCCAGAGTTACAGATCCAGAGTTACAGATCCAGAGTTACAGATCTAGAGTTACAGATCCAGAGTTACAGATCTAGAGTTACAGATCCAGAGTTACAGATCTAGAGTTACAGATCCAGAGTTACAGATCTAGAGTTACAGATCTAGTTACAGATCTACAGTTACAGATCTAGAGTTACAGATCTAGAGTTACAGATCCAGTGTTACAGATCTAGAGTTACAGATCCAGAGTTACAGATCTAGAGTTACAGATCTAGAGTTACAGATCTAGAGTTACAGATCCAGAGTTACAGATCTAGAGTTACAGATCTAGAGTTACAGATCCAGAGTTACAGATCTAGAGTTACAGATCCAGAGTTACAGATCTAGAGTTACAGATCCAGAGTTACAGATCTAGAGTTACAGATCTAGAGTTACAGATCTAGAGTTACAGATCCAGAGTTACAGATCTAGAGTTACAGATCTAGAGTTAC